AATCCAAATACAAATTTGTTGGTTAATCAATCTTCAGCTAACCAGTTGAATAGAATTAGGATGTGGAATTAAAATTTTGCTGAATCGAGACATATGATTAGGGCCGATGAAATTACAAATAAGTTAGTTAGTCTCGGTCTATGAGTACCCCCAGTCAATTTGCTATACTTTTCACTATTAACTAAATCTCTAAACTTCCTCATTATTCAACAAGTTTTTTATTTGGTAAATTCTTCTTCTGTCGCATTGTCAAATTTTCTGTCCTCCCTGGTTAATAGATGAAAAAAATCCTTCAAACTAGTAACATGTACCAACCAATATGAGATATCCTCTCCTAATCTCGTTTCCAGCACACAGAATCAATCTGACTATCTCCAATGCTACTGGTAAAACTTTGAAATTTATGAGTTCTAATAAAAAAACAAGTCGATGATCTGGTGGATAATAATCACTCACAAAATTTATGTAGGAGAGAACATAATAATAAAATTAACACACAATAATATTAATATTTCGAATGATGGAGAAAGTTACACCAAAATAAAGACTCAATGGGTTCTTTGCATACCTTCTCCAAAAAATACTCTAGCAAGTAGCGAGTTAATTACGTGATAAATAAAAAACAACTACATAATGAATTGCCAAAATGAACTACTGAATTATAATGTAAGATATTATCAAAAATTGAAACCTATTAAAACAACTAGAAATCTATATCTATATATATTACAGGGGAGGTTTTAGAGGAGGCCTCCTGGATGGCTTCCAAGTCTTCCATCCTTTTTTTTTTTTCTAGATTTTTCATTTATTTTAATTCATAAATTCAATCAAAAAGTTTGAAATAGTGTGATTTACAACTACTCCTATGACAATTTAAATTTAAAATTTAAAACTTTCTTTTCCACTTCAAATGAGTGCTTAATAAATCGTTTATAGTTTATTTTGCAGACTTTAAACCCTTTTTCCTTCCATAAGTAAAAAAATAAATTTGGATAATTTGACATGTTAAAATCATTCACCTCATTACAACTTTATCACTTTAGCCTATTTTATTCCTTGATTAATAAGATTGATTTGTCAAATTTGAGGAATAATGTGATTAGTCCCATTTTTTAATCATTTATATAGTAACATTTTTAGCACTTTCCTTCCAAGTATATACATAGTTGTCAAACATTCAGATAACACATCCAATTATAACCATTCTTTAACCATTTTACCTTTTGCAACTAAATTAATTTTTTTTAGTTTTAAACCTATCCTATTAGACAATAATTCCAACCAATGAAATAAACATTCTGACATACAACGTCATCTAGATAATTTTTTACATGCGCAAAATTTCATCTGGATAATTTTGCATATGACGCGTACATTAGAAAGTGTACATAAAACACAATTTTGATATGAATTTTAAATTAATAAAAGGGGCATTTAGATGGTTGTTTTCAGAGTGTTTATAAAAAATTTTAAAATAAATATTTGTTTAAACGATTATCTTGGGTGATCATCACAAAAAATAGTAGTATTTTGCCAAAGTTATACCCAATTACTTTTCCTTCACGACTATAATTCGAACTCTTTATTTGAAAAAAACACTTGAAAAGTGAGGTAATGAATCTTAAATAATAAAAGAAATAGAAAGATTGGAGTATATGGTCGAGAAGGGGAAAAGTAAGGTAATGGATCCTAAATAGTAAAAGGAGTATAAAGATATGAGTATAGGATTCGAGATGATAAAGTCAAGGGAGCTGTGATTGTGAGTTGGGATGAAATTATCAAAATGGATGATTTACGTGGGTTAAATGGATATAATTTTATATGGTTTTGGTTATCTTACCCATTTACAATCCACTACAAAATTGTATTTATTTTTTCTCCCATATTCTTTGAGCAACAAAATTAGATGTCATTGTAATCAATAAAAATAAGAGCACATTGCATTAATAAATAAATTTTTACCTAAAAAAATACACAGAAGAACCAATAGTGGTGATCATATGAGTTTCAATTTTGTCACTCTACAAGAATCTCAAAATAATTTAGGTATCAATGCAAGAAATCAATTAACACCTAATGAGTTAATTAAAACTTTGATGGAAGGGAGGGAAGAAGTAGGATAAAATTTAACAAAAATTAAAAAAATAAAAATTACAGAATATGACAAGAACATTAAATATGCCTTTGCAAAAAGTAAAATATGATTATTGAATTTGTAGTGATTTAAAATTACTTACTAATGAATTTGAATCTACATCTAATTTAATTAGGTCTAAATAGATAGTCCCAATCTATCCATTTAATAGCCACTAATTAATGAGTTTAATTGGGTGAAAAGAGTAACAGGATAGAAGGTAAATAGGTTGCGAAATTGGGTAAGAAATTGCATAATTTGATAGAAGTAAGGTAGAGTGAAGGAAAAGTAGAGTTTGTAGGGGAGAGAAGAGTTGGAGGGATGTGGAAAGTTTGGATTAGAAAGATGAGAAAGAGGGTAATGAAAAGTGGGGAAATGTTAACTGGAAGTGGCGCAAAAAAAAGGGAATATGGAAGGGAGGGATAACAATTTATGTTTAATATGCTTTTAGTATTTCTTTAGATATTTTTGTGACCTTTGTTTATATTTTTAATATGCGTTAAAGGTTTTAGATAAGGTACATAAATATAATATAAAATAGATACTAAAATAGCATTCTTTTGATTTTTTTAATTTTTTTTCATGTAATTAATATAAATAATTCATTTAGTATTATCATATATATATATATATATATAATAAAGTCGTATTCTCATTCTTATTCCTTCATGTTTTCTCTTTCCTACGTGGCTTAACGAGACGGCAAGTAGTTTCCTACGTGGCTTGCTCCTTTTTTGTTTAGATATATATCAATTCTTATTTCCTATAAGAATTCTTAATATTATATGATTCTTATTTCCTACCCAAAAATGGAATTGGAAAGTAATGTGTTATAAATAAAAGAGACATAAATATCTCTATTAGATATATCTCCAAATTCATGCCAATAATTTGTGTACTGCATAGGGAACCAAAGTAAATAAGAATTGTTATCACTAGAAGAAGTAGAAAAGTAACTAATTTCAAAAGGAACCATTAATAACAGAAGTCAATATCTGATGTTGGAAATAAGATTCTTAATAAATTTTATTATTAAGTGCGTTATCAAGACATAGTGCATAGCACGAAATTTATGGAAAAGAAAAAGTTAATTGAATCCAATTAGTTATATGTATTTGACCTGTACGGTCAAATATAAATTATTATTTGAGCACGGGTTTGTAAATTCCTATAAACCCGTTCGTCGTTAATCAAAACATGTAGGTTATACTCATTGCTAGGTTATAGGATTCACAATACATCTCTGCTCAGATGGTGGGGAGTATTTAGTGTGTGGGCCCACACCATATGAGTCCATGCGCTTAAAAGACTCGATATAGTTGAGGTGATCTTTCAAAGTAAGTAAAATCTGTCTTGAGAACGCACTTTTATTTCCTATAAGAATTCTTAATATTATAGGATTCTTATTTTTTTACCCAAAGTTACGTACTTTAAACAACTTAAATCAAGATAAACCTACATTTAATGTTCTTATCAATATCTTTTTATATTCTTATCAATTCTTATTTCTTATGCCTACACTACATATAGCCTCTAATATATTGATTTCAAGCATCAAATTCATGGTTAGGTATTTTCAGTGCAAGCGGTTGGCACATTAAAACATCGATTTTGGGTTTCCACTCCTCTTGATTATCAGGTACATCTTCTTTCAATACATATTTTTTTTAAAAAGGCATGTTGATCTTCAATTATAAAAGTTTAGAAATATATCTTGAATTTTGTTTTTTTTTGTTTTTTTTATGAACACATAGGATTAGTAATCTATCTTGAATTAGTAATAAATTTCTCTTATATTTCACATATTATATCTCACATAATATTTTTGTCTTTAATTTTGATAAATTATTATCAGATTGGTGAAACCGACAACCAATACCAACCTGAAGCATTTTCTTCCCAGATCTCAATTAGTATAACAGATATTCTAATCAACAACACTTCAGTACACTTCATATGAATCATTCATCAGAGGGTTCAACAAAAACCACAGAGGAAGGGAATCCTCATAAAAAGATTTGTATGAGAAGGTAGATTTAATATACTATTTTACTTTCTTAAATTATAATCTTTACGTGTTGTTATACACAATCTTGAATGCGATAAATCATTTATTTTTTTATACTTAGTTATCCTGCTTTACTATCATACAGTGATAATGGAAAATCAATAAATGCTGATTTGCACGGACAAATCGAGGAGAATGTTCAAACAGAAGAAAAACAAAAACAAGTTTCTGAAGAGTAGAATATTATTTGATACTATTTACTGCACTTTTTATTTATTTTCAAGTTTTTGAATGTTATGGTATTGTCGAATGTTATTTTTTTTATTTTTAAATTATTATCTACTGAATTAGATGTTCAAATTTATATTATAAGAATATTTTATATTATAATGCGCATATAGTAATATACTTAAGAAAAAGTTATAGTAAAATATACATTAAGTTTGTATTTCATATCGACATTTTTATAAAATTGACTAAATAATTTATTATTTTTCGAAAATTCCCGTTCAACGAACGGGTACAAAACTAGTTATTATATTAAACGTAAATCCGTGCATGTCACGGGATGAAATACTAGTTGAATTAGTAATCTACAAGACCTGTATAATTTGCTAATAGGACGGTTCTCGGGGAAAGTTACTGTCCCGGCCGCCTATCTTGAACATTCGTATAATCGTATCTCGTATTCTTCTGCTGCTTCCTTCCTGTAAAAATGATAACGACTTCCACTTTGCCATATTCTATTACAGTCTACAGAGGTGTTTGTCTACCAGAAAGGCATAATATTGTGTCACCTCAGCATCCTCATCATATGTTCCCTCCCTCTATTCTTTGATCCCTGTGGAGATGCAATAATCAAAGAATTGAGTACTTTGATCAAAATCAAAATTTGCCAAGTTGGCAGTCTGGATGTTGAAGTTGCAAGTACTTCCAATAACCAGTTGACTTCAGTAGACATGAAGGTCGATAGGAAATTGGCAAAACTGCTTTTCTTTCGAGTATATTCCTACTTTTCCTCGATTGCTGTCAGATGGTATCTTAGCTAGCAATCCATCGACTTATTCATCTTGAATACTCTATTAAGTTTTCACAAACTATTCAAAGTTCAAACCAAAGAAAAAGGCTCAAGCTACAAAGATGACGGGCGGAAGTGCAGGTAAACATGTCAATACCATGATGAATAGCTTTGCTGTTAAATTGACTTTTCTTCAGTTTGAATGGAATAATCTTGATTTGAAGATAAACTACATCTTGGTGTCCCAAGGTTACTTCATGTTACTAGTAGAGGTGATTTCACGTCCCATTTGATAATCCTGACTTGTGCTGCAAGTAGGATTGTCTAGCAGTCAAATATGCTACAATCCTGTAATCTTATATAGTTGGTCCTAGTATATTACGCGACATGTCATGTCAGTCGATGCCGGAGAAAGCTCCTCTAGCCACGCAAATTAACATGACCCGGAGAAAAAGATTCAAGCCAAAATTGGACACTTTCCGGGATAATTCGGGAAATATTGCCTGGTGTAGCTATGCGGTTGGAAAATCCCGGGGGAATCTGCTAGCTTATTCCAAGAAGAAACACCAGTCAACAGATTCTGCCTTCAACTAATAAGTACCCTATACCTTTCATCTTAAACCTTATGAAACCAAAGCAATTCTAACAGATTCAAGCTGAGAAAATAAAGAGGTTTCCAAAATTTCCAATTCCCAAATCTTTCCAATGGCCATACTTGATCATTCTACAGTCCAAAGCCAGAACCAAAACCAAAACCAAACCCAAACCCAAGATGCTACCATTCAAGGAACTCATGAAGTAACTGTGGTCATGGTTCCCTTTCCAGCACAAGGTCATCTCAACCAACTCCTCCATCTATCCCGCCTCATCTCCTCCTATAATATACCCGTTCACTACGTTAGCACGGCCACTCATACTCGTCAGGCAAAGTTTCGCGTCCAAGGTTGGGATCCTCTTGCCATTTCCAACATCCATTTCCATGAATTTTCAGTCCCTTCTTATGAAAACCCTCCTCCCAACCCAAATGCCCCAACAAAATTTCCCACACAACTCATCCCAGCAACACATGCATCGTTCAAACTCCGCGAGCCAGTTTATGCACTTCTGCAACAACTTTCAACCACAACCAGGAGATTGGTAGTGATTCATGACTCTCTCTTTCCATATGTCATACAGGATGTGGGTTTAATCCCGAATGCAGAGTCCTACTGCTTTGAGAGCATCTCAACCTTCACTATCTACACAATTGTTTGGGAAGATGAAGGGAAACCTGGACTATCCGAGCCTGAACTACTCGAATTACTTGAAGATATTCCGTCACTGGAAAGTTGCTTCCACCCAGCGCTGATAGACCTTGAAAATTTGCAAAAGAACACCAAGCCAATCAGCTCTGGCGACCTATATAATACATGTAGAGCTATCGAGGGTCCATACCTTGATCTCCTTGCAAAAGCCAAAACAACCGATTCCAACAAGCAATGGGCTATTGGTCCATTCAATCCAGTTGAGACAAACGACCAGAAAAACTCGAAAAAGAGACACTATTGCCTGGATTGGCTTGACAAACAAGCCACAAACTCAGTCATTTTCGTTTCCTTTGGTTCAACAACTTCACTATCAGACGAAGAAGCCGAGGAGATCGCAAGTGGATTAGAGCAAAGCGGGCAAAAATTCATATGGGTACTCAGGGATGCAGATAAAGGAGATGTCTTCCAGGGAGAAGTTAGGAGAGCTCGATTGCCTGAAGGATTCGAAGAGAGAACTGAAGGAAGAGGAATAGTTGTGAGGGATTGGGCCCCCCAACTGGAGATTCTTGGACATACATCAACAGGTGGATTCATGAGTCATTGCGGATGGAACTCGTGCATGGAAAGCATTAGCATGGGAGTACCCGTGGCTGCATGGCCTATGCATTCTGACCAGCCCAGAAATGCGGTACTGCTGGAAAAGGTGCTCAAGATTGGCCTATTAGTAAGGGATTGGTCGAAGAAAGATGAACTTGTGACATCCATGACTGTTGAAAACGCTGTGAGAAGACTAATGGATTCAGCCGAAGGAGAAAAGATGAGGCAAACGGCAAAGGAACTGAGCAAAGCTGTGAAGGGTTCTGTTATGGAAGGTGGTGCTAGTCGCTTGGAGATGGATTCTTTCATTGCTCATATTCGGAGATGATTTTTTTTTTTTTTAGTCATATATGTTTTTTGATCAGGAGAAATTGATTTCATTTGCCTCAATAAAATGTACCATTTTATGCCCAAAACTAGTAGTGGTAGTATAGGCAGCGGAAACGGCGGCGGTGTCGTTTTGTTGTCTCATATGACCGGTTTTGTTGGCCAAAACCCAAAAAGACGCACTATGGATTCGGGGAGTGAGAGGGGGATACAGAGGGCCCCTAAAGATTTCGTTTTAAGGTTTGCAAGCAACTGAAGCAACCCCGCGCACTTTCGAAGCATTTACAATTTGTTAATTATTATCCCATCCCCCCAACAAACGAAACGAAAAAAAACGAAGGGCTGTTGATGTACTCGGGTAACTTTTCTAAGTACTTTATTTACTCTATCCGTCCATATTTGGGAAAATTGTTGAAAACATTTTTCATATTTTGTAAAATAATTTTTTTCGTCTCTTACTTTTAAAAGTATAATTTTACGTCCCTTATAAATTTATATTGATTAAATTTGGTCCCTATCTAAATTTCTGATTAATTTTTGACTGAAATACACGTTATCATTTTTTAGAGGCAAAATTATCAAATCACATTTCACAAAATAAATTTAATCCCTTATCAAATTTTTCGAATTTGACAAAATAAATTTTTCGCCCCTCACATTTCATAAAATAAAAATTTTAATCCCTTATTGATCATGTGTACGAATAGTTTTTTCTTATTTTTGAAAATTCATATATATGTCTATTTGATTTCATCTAAATAGTACAAATAACGTGTAATTTATCTATATTTGATTTCACTTGAATAAACTTATTGTAGTTGTAGGTGAAATCAAATAGAAATATATTATACGTTACTTGTACGTTTATGTGAAATCAAATAAATATATATAAGTGTTAAAAAAATATTCTTATACATAATCAATTAGGGATGAAAAAATTCATTTGTGAAATATGAGGGACGAAAAAATTTATTTTGTGAAATGTGATGAACTATGAATTGGATTATGTGAAATTTGATTTGACAATTTTGCCTCTAAATAATGATCACGTATAAGGCACGTGAAGGATTCCAGCAAAAAACTAATTGAAAACCTATTTAGGGAAATTTGACCAATATGAATTTGTAAGGGATATAAAATTATATTTTTAAAAATGAGGAATGAAAATAGTTATTTTGCAAAATGTAATGGACGTTTTGAATGATTTTCCCTCCATATTTCCATCACTTTTTTAGATCACAACTTTAATGTATATTTCCTCTATCTCACTTTAATAGTTTTATATTTTTTACATGATTTAAAGAGAATTACTTAACATTATTGGAATAATACTAGGGGAAAAAGCCCGCGCCACGCGCGAGAGTTTAGTACCTGTAATTAAAGATAGTTAATAATTATTATTTGGTATTTTGTAGTATAAGAATTGAAGTATGACATTTTTATTATGTGATATTAAACAGAAAAATCATAAATTACATATTGAGTCAAAAAATATAATATGCAATGAAATATAATTATAAGATATGATCAACCATTTTGCGTTTAATCTGATAAAATAAAAGATCTACTTATATCTGCTCATGCACTTTAGGGATATTAAAATTTGTTATTTAGTTTGAATTTGATCTTGATATGAGGGCAATCCACCACATTATCTTGTCATATAAGTGAGATTTGAACAATTAGCATACTTGAAGAAATTATTACCAGTGGAATTTTAGTTCTTGCAAGCCAAATTCTTGAATTTATATTGATTCCAAGGACATATATATCATCATGAAACCTCCACATTGACGAATCAATCAATTATGATTTATTGTATGATTTAGGACATATAGCAAAGCATCTCCTTCTCGATAGGGGTTACAATCACAAAACATCAATTTTTGACCTAGTTGCGAAAATATACAATAACTAACACACTAATCTAGACAAATAATTACCTCAAAAAAATCTTAATCCACTGAATTCAAGAATTAAAAGTAATGAAGTACATACTTTTAAGTAGACAGTTAAACATATTGGGAAATCAAATGAAGTGAAAAATGCCTAAATGGAATCATTAATAAAGTAGCAAACAATTTGAAAATTACAGTAACTATAATAGTTTTTTTTTTCAGTAACTAATAGTTAAAACAACAAAAGAAGTAGATGCAATCTATAAATGAAAAAATTTATGATGATAAAATTATTTTAAACCAAAAATAACAATTAATAAATGTGATCTCCTCCCTATCAAGTCTATCTAACATGGACAATTGAATTAAAACACTAAAAGAAGTATTGCACATACAACTTGCAAGATCACATATTTCTTACAACCAAAAAAGTAGATTAGCTAAAGAAAACATACCTATTGAGAAAGATGCTGCAAAATGGGAAAGAGGGGTAGCTAATATAGAAACATCCGAATTCAATAGACTATATGATTGTAATGGAACAAAGTTATAAGTAAATGAAATGAATTTGAATAGATGGGGATTACTATGGCAACGGCCAAGAAACCAAACTTCTCTACTAATCAGCATTAATTGTGTCTTAACATCTATATATCATAAGTTTGCAAATAACTGATGAGAAAGGCTTTAAGAAATTAAGAGACTTGGATATCAATACAATTAAATGATTAAAAGGATTTTTATGTAATTTTACTAAAACACAAGTTGAATTCAATTGTACCCAATGTTCAATCAAATATCGGTCACATGTTAAACTTACCCCTAGCTTTAAATATCTAAGAGGACATTTAAATAATTATTAAAGAACCAAATTAGCTATAATGATTCATATTCAATACTCCAATTGCACTTTAAATACTCTCATATTCCCAAAATAGCCCCATCTTTGCGGTTGAAATCTTTGCTCTAAACTCATTCTTATATAGTATAAGGAATTATTAAAGAACCAAATTAGCTATAATCATTCATATTCAATACTCCAATTGCACTTTAAATACTCTCATATTCTCAAAATAGCCCCATTTTTGCGGTTGAAATCTTTGCCCTAAACTCATTCTTATATAATATATGGATATCTTTATTGCTGTCCATAAACCTCCCAAAGTATGAAAGTGTGGTATTTAAGGTGCACCTATGAATGTTGGTCCAAAAGGTAGACATAGCCTGATTTAGGACATTCAAATGTCACAAGATCTTTTGCTAGAATTGCTCTTTAAAAGATAAAAATATTGATTTTAGAGCACTTTAATAACCAACAATGACGTTCCAATCTTAACTTTTATCTGACTTGTTAAATCCCTGTGAAACTTTCCCCCTATCTTTATTAAGCAATTCATCCTAGACGATTTTTAACAAATTTAGCAATAAAATCTTTTTTTTTTCATTAAACATTGTGAAATTACGATCTTAACTTTTATATGTACTATGCATAAGGCTAAGACTTGGGAATTGCTTGGCCCCCATTTTTTTTTTCTTTTTGACGAACGGCAATCGTTATATTAATAACTTGAGTAGTACAAAAGACCCACTGAAACACAATAAAGAATCAAAGGACATCTAGACGCACAATAGAGAATTAATTGAGCAGCTTGCTGAATTTGAGTATTTTATAAATTGATGGTTTTTTCAAGAGTTTAGAATAGAAATAAAGTTGAATTTTTGTGTCAACAAGGATGAAAGGACATTAGGTGGAAAGTGAAGGCGGCATATCCTTTGGTGTAAAACGTTCTGTGCTTTTTACTAAATAAAAATTCCTACAAAATGATTGAAAATTTTGCCCATTCCCATCCTTAGTAACTAAAGTTGGTCAAGCGTTAACGCGTTATTGACCAAATGCTAATAGATGGGAGGACTTAATTGGAATGGATTTCGTATTTTGGTAGCCATAATTGAGAGCCTTCTATTTTCATGAGCTTTATAGAACCTTGGCCTACTTTAGAGGACCAAAATGAGATTCACCCCAAAATCTTTCTAGTAAATGTTTTGTTTTGACCTCCGTTAAAATCCAGCATTATTAGATGGAACTAAGCTGTAATTTTAGAAATCACCCCTTTTTTTTACCAATTCCAAATCATGTCACTTAAATCTAAACATTCTTGAAATTCTTAAATTAACTCATGAGTTAAATAGGGAGGTGATGTCACAAAATTTAAATCATAGGGGCAAAAGCATGAAAAGCAGAGGAAAGGTAACTAAAACGAGGATGAGGAAATTTATTTTGTTGGTCTAAGTTTTTTTTAAGCAAAATGTAAACCTTTATTGATAAAATACTGGTAAGCTCACACTCAGTAACATCAGTAGCTTGTACATCAAAATGAACACTGTTTATACTATCACTACTGTACGTAAAGAAGAAATATCATGTCTATCAAAATTTGTGAGAGATGCGGCATTCAAGTCGAATTGGAATAACTTGAGAGTTGAATGAAGAAATTCTTGGTCATATCGAATATCTGTATTGGTAGAGTTAGAGTTTCGTAGATAGAACAAAGAGGTCATGTAACCTAAAAAGTCATAAGCTAAGCTAAGTATCTATTTTACTGCCAAAGCAGAGGGAGATTAGTGTCATTTAACCAACAACTTCAGTTAAACTCGTCAACGATCCGATTGCATACTTCTTCAAGTGTTTCATAAGTTTAATTAGAACTTTAGGATAATATAAAAGAAGGGAAAATGGTCAATTTTGTTCCTAAAGTTTTTAACTAGTGCCGATTTAGTCCCTAACTTTGGTTCCTATCCAATTTGATATGTGAACTTTTTCTTACAGCTTCAATTAGAAACCTCCATGGCAGTGCCACCACCTAAATACTAATTTGATTTCTAATTGACCAACTAAACAAAGGTATTTCGGAGAACATCACTTACAGGATTATGATAAATCAAGTAAATCATGTAACAAATCACAAGATTGAACTTTAAAAAGGTTTTATCTGGTGATTTTTTATACGATTTAAAAATTTTATCCGGTGATTTTTTACACTATTTACTAGTTTTATTACAGTTCCTTGAGTGACGTTTCCATAATACCCTTGCTTAGTTAGTTAATTAAGAGTCAAATCAATTTTTGGTAATGGTGGAATTGCAAAGTAGTTCAAGTATCAAATTAGCCAAAAAATTAGGAGGGCCGGAAGAGAGATGGATTAGGTGGTTTGGAAGAAGAGAGTGTAAATAAGAAGTCTCGAATTTAAATCTTCCTACTTATAAAAAAAAAAGACCAAAAATAAAAGTTAGAGACTAAATCAACACGAGTAAAAAAAAGTTTACCGACAAGGTTGGCCATTTTCTCATAAAAGAAATTGGTTTCGAAAAAACGCTCAAAAGGGGACAAAAAGGGTTCAATTGAATCAATCCAATCTAAGTCATTGTTAATGGGCTAAGTGCTACTTAAATTGAAAACATAGTGCAGTGATTTTTTTACATTAGCAAGTTTTTATGTATGCCATGTGTACATGATTTGAATTTCAAATTTATATTTATATTATGTGGCATGATCTGAGCCTGCTAATTTTAAAAAAAATTATACACTGACAATGTGAAATAAAGTTGTCCATACATAAATCAGCAAAAGAGTACTCTACCAAAGCAATTCTCGAATCATGAATACATAGCCCAATTGACGATTTTAGAATTCAAGTGGCCTGTCGGGTATGATTGGGCTTGGACATGGCTTGCTTTACAAAGTAACTCTTGCCGCATGTCGCCATTAAAATCGTCAAAAGAAGCATGCAAATCAGTGTAGTTGATAGACTTTTCCTCTATTCAAACGAGGTTTATACACCACACTCGGGGCATAATAGCACTTAAATACATGTGTCTTTTGTTGGCATATTAAAACAATCTTATGTTCTTTATCATTGTTTAGCAATTTTTGATCAAATTAGCTTTTAGTAGTTTGAGTATGGCACTGGGCAATTTCTTGTGATGTTTGTTTCTTGTTCATGACATATGGTCTATAAGTAAAGTGTCCTGAAATTGTTCGACTAAGAAGAATGAAGGGTTAAAACTCTTATTCTTATGTGTGAGTGAGGTCAATGTATAATAGCTAAATTTTTTGATCTAAGTGGCTCAGTAATATTCAATTACTTCGAAGATGTACTAATTTTTATGAACATATCCTAGAGCAGGTGCCCAAATACGTAGTATAAATTCAAATGAGCAATAGAATTTTTTTTTGTTCTCGAGGTACCTCCGATGCTTAAGACAGTATTTATTCATATCTCGTTTTCCTCAGCTCTTTCCTTTCTGTAAAACTGATAACGACTTCCACTTAGCCCATATTCTATTACGGTCTGCAAAGGTATTGTCTGCAAATTAACCAAAAAATAAAAAAGTAATTGTCTGCCTTACCCAATAAACAGCCCACCTCAGTGTCCTTATCATCTGTTCCCTGCCTCAATTCTTTATTCCCTGTGGAGATCTAATAATTGATTACTTAATTAGATCACAATCAAAATTTGTGAAGCCGGCAATCTAGACTGTCAGAGTTTAAAGCACCTTTCAACTTTGTCCGATAACCAATTGCGTTTACTAGACAAGAAGGACAATGGGAAATTGACAAAACTACTGTTCTTTCGAGGATTTTCCAACTTCTCCTCAGTTGCTGTCTAGCAATCCATTGCCTTATTCATCTTGGATACCCCCTTTATAGTTTTGACAAACCATTCAAACCAAAGAACAAGGTTCGAGAAACTGACTTTTCTTCAAGTTTATCATCTTGGACCACGGACTGAAGTGGTGGTGATTGGTTTAAACTTGTCAATGCCCTTGATGGATTGCTTTGCTCTTAAACTGACTTTTCTTCAAGTTTAAATTTAGTGTTCTTGATTTTAAAATAAGTGCATCTTGGTGTCCCAAATTCGCTCCATATCACTAATATGGACATTATAGCCCTTTAGTATTGTGTTTGTTTGGATGCGTACATTACATTATAAAAAATGCTATAATATTATTTCAAAAAATCTTATGGTTCAAAGAGGATTGTCGTCATTTGGAAATTTAGTTATGGACAAAGATCATATAAAGGTATAGTTAGTGAAGGGCGGAAATAATTTTATATTTCTTGGACTTTTTTGGTATCTCCAGCCAGTTAATTAATCGTATTTTTTCTGGTGTACTATTCCTCAAGCCGCACATATTACGGAACCCGGAGACAAAGGTTGAAGCCACAATTGGACATTTTCTGGTATAATTCGGAAAAATATCGCCTAGTGCAGCTGTGCGGATTGCAAGATCCCAAGGTAATCTGCTAGGTTATTCCAATAGAAAACACCAGAGTCAACAGAATCTAACTTAAACTAAGAAGGACTCGGGAGGAATGGGTCGAGTGACACGAGGGAGGAAATGTAAGTAAAAAGTCTCGAGTTTCAGACCTTTCACTTAATTTTAAAATAAAATTAAAAATAAAAGGACCCTATAACTTTCATCATACACCTTATACAATCAAAGCAATTCTAGCAAGCTGAGAAAATAGAGGCCTTTCTAACGTTTCCAATGGCCATGGATGATCATTCTAGAGTCCACGGCCAAAACCAGAACCAAAGCCAAAATGGTAGTAGTATTCAAGAAACACATGAAGTAACTGTGGTCATGGTTCCCCTTCCAGCACAAGGCCATCTCAACCAGCTTCTCCATCTCTCCCGCCTCATCTCCTCCTATGATATACCTGTTCATTATGTTGGCACGGCCTCTCACAACCGCCAGGCAAAGGTTCGCGTCCACGGTTGGGATCCTCTAGCCATTTCCAACATCCATTTCCATGAATTTTCCATCCCTCCTTATGAAACTCCTCCTCCCAACCCAAATGCCCCAACAAAATTTCCCACACAACTCTTCCCAGTGTTCAACACATCGATCAAACTCCGCGAGCCAGTTTACACACTTCTGCAACAACTTTCTCGCACAACAAGAAGATTGGTAGTTATTTATGACTCTCTGATGCCATATGTCATCCAGGATGTGGGTTTAATCCTGAACGCAGAGTCCTACTGCTTTCCAAGCACCTCAGCCTTCACTGTATACTCGATTGTCTGGGAACAAGAAGGGAAACCTGGACTATCCGAGCCTGAACTACTCGAAGCACTCGAAGATCTTCCAACATGGGAAAGCTGCTTCCCCCAGGAGCTGACTGACTTTGCAAAATTGCAACAGGATTTTAAGCCAATTAGCTCTGGCTACCTGTTCAACAGTTGTAGAGCTATAGAGGGTCCATACCTTGACCTCCATGTTAAATCCAAAATAACCGACTCTGACAAGCAATGGGCTATTGGACCCTTCAATCCAGTTGAGATGAATGGGCAGAGAAACTCGGAAAAGAGACACTATTGCCTGGATTGGCTGGACAAACAAGCGCCAAATTCGGTCATTTTCATTTCTTTTGGTTCAACAACTTCGGTGTCTGATGAAGAAGCCAAGGAGATCGCAACTGGATTAGATAAAAGTGGGCAAAAATTCATATGGGTACTGAGGGATGCAGATAAAGGAGACGTCTTCCAGGGAGAAGATAGGAGAACTCAGCTGCCAGAAGGATTTGAAGAGAGAATTGAAGGAAGGGGAATTGTTGTGAGGGATTGGGCGCCCCAACTGGAGATTCTTGGACATTCATCAACAGGTGGATTCATGAGTCATTGCGGATGGAACTCGTGCATAGAAAGCATTAGCATGGGAGTACCCGTGGCAGCATGGCCTATGCATTCTGACCAGCCCCGAAACGCGTTACTACTGGAAAAGGTGCTCAAGATTGGTCTAAAGGTGAGGGATTGGTCGAAGCAGAATGAACTTGTGACATCCATAACTGTTGAAAATGCTGTGAGAAGATTGATGGATTCAGCTGAAGGAGAAGAGATGTGGCAAAGAGCCAAACTATTGAGCAGAGCTGTGAAGGATTCTGTTATGGAAGGTGGTGTTAGTCGCTTGGAGATGGATTCTTTCATTGCTCATATTCGTAGGTAGACTTTTAGTTCACCCAAATCGTAATCTTCAATCAGCAGGAATCCTGAGTAATAAAAATTGTAACTTGTTAAGTTAAATCAATTGCAATGAAATTTCTATTATACTGCCACTGATCAGCTTTCTAATAGTATTAATTTCGACTAATCAGACACTTTGCTCTTGTGATTCGACACTCTTCACTTGTTCAAAATCTTTGTAGTCCACCACATGATTCAAAGTAGGGCAAATGACATTTTATCCTCTGTGGTTTAGTGTTTTATTACATAACCCCTTATGATTTCAAAATCTATACATAATCCCCTATGATTTCAAAATCTTTACATAACTCCCTTATAATTTGGATCAAAGTGTCAAAGTGACGAAATTTGTAATTTATGACGGAGTCAACTAAAATGTCAAAAATACCTCTATGTAAAGTTGAAAATTATTTATTAACCACATGGTGTTATGTATATATTTTGAAAACCACAAGAGGGTTATATTGTAAAGTATTAAATTATAACGGGGTTATATGGTAAAATATAAAATTATACGGGATTAGAGTGTCATGTATATAAAATTAAGCGTTCCCCCTAAAAAAAAAAAAAAAAAAAAATCATCATTCATGTGTGGGGATATTCTAGAAAAAAATATATGTGCTAATAGTGAAAAATATGGAAGTGTTTGAATAAATTGTTAACCCGCTGATCCCTGAATTTTAATGTTGAGATTTTGCTTAATAGTTGAACCATTTGCTTATGGATGCTAGTTGAATATTCTGTATTCTTAAATTAGTTAGTCATAAATTGAAAGAGTCCTTGATCTTGAAAGACAAATGGAGAGATATTTCTTGGAATTTAATCACTAGTACTTGACATATGTTTTAATTGTATCTTAGCAATAGAAGATTTGAGCAATAGCCATTATTTGAATTTGATTATTTGATTTTTTTTGTTCTCATACTTGAGGACAAGCATGATCTAGGTGTGGGGGTAATTGATAGAGTGCAATTTATTCGGTCTTCTCACGTGCTTTTCCTATTTATTTGGACTAAATACTGCACTAATCGGTGGATTTTACTATGATTTTGTGTTCTATGCGAATTGCAGCATTTAGGGGCAAAAGGAGCTGGAAAATTAACTTTTGAAGCTTTCCTGTCAGTTAGACGTGGGCACGCCTAAGTATGATGTCCAAAGCCGGATTTGCGGGATTGTTGGCCACGTGCAAACTTCCAAATATTTGGAGATTCCTTCGCGGGTGACAATTCTGGAACAATGCTGACTTAGCCAATTTGCACGTGAAGAGTCATTTGGCAGCAAGACTTCAATTGGGATTTAAATTGATTGGGTTCCTTCTTTGACTAAACGTGCTGGCCCACAAAAGCAGGAAGACTACTGGGTCTCTTTTGGAGACAGCCGCACGAGGACTCTATAAATACAATCCCTTCGCTGGCTTCAGGGGTCTCTCGCTCTCTCTCTCTCGGCAGAAACGAGTTTTAGTTTAGGCTTTTAGCATAGTTTTAGTTTTTCTTTTCTTAGTTCTTTTGCATGGTTGTTCTCCATTAATGGAGAACTAGCTTCTCAAATCTAGTCAAGGGGACAACTGAAGATTTGGTTCAACAATTACTGTGAGATCTAATTTATTTTAATTGCTTCCTTCATTTATTGATATTCATATGTTTCCTGCTCTTAACCGTTATAACTCGTGTGGATGATTGATTAGTGCGCAATAATTAATTATTCATATAGGTTATTTTGCTAATTAGGGGTAATTGAATCCGTAATTGTTCGTTATCCCTATCTCAGTAGCAGCTGGCGTAATTGGGTTTATGTCAGGGGAACATACGATCTAATTTAAACAAACCCTCGTAGCGTGTTTGTTAATTAGGATTGGGCCTTTCTAATTATTAATGCAAACCAGAAATTAAATCCTACGGTCGTACCTAGGGTTGTTTTTGGGTTAGGGAAATAGTTAACGGTCGTACCTTAGCTATCGATAAATTAAGGAAGGGTTGGTTGTTTAGCGCGTGCGAGACAACTATAACCACTCTATTAATAAATGTTGGGATTATTTTTGCATCAATGATCAGTGCATGAACCATTTCTGAAGTATACCCTTGGCTAGAGTTTCTCTAAGTATTTCTTTTAATTAATTATTTTCTGCATTTAATTCATTTAGTTGTCGTTTAATCCCAAAACCCCCCATTAATCTTGACTTGAAAAGAAATAAATTTCTCGCCAGTCCCTGAGGAGACGACCCTGCTTACCACTGTCTACTAAGTTAGTAAATTCAGTTAAATAATTAATTCAAGTATTTCGGATTAAGCAAACTCTTCGGGAACAGGGTGAATCAAGTAACCCATTGCACACCTAGAGTCCCTGCTCCAGTACTCGAATTGATTATTGACTGCTTTATGTGGTAGTTAGGTTTTATTTATTATTATTGCACAGGTTCGGCACCTGTCAATTTTTGGCGCCGTTGCCGGGGACTGGTGTCAGATTAATTTGTTTCTTTTTGAGTTCATCTTGTTTTTATTTTTATTTATTTATTTTTCTCTTATTTTTTTTTATATATAGTTTATGGCTTCTAACACTCCATATTTTGGTGATAGACTGGATTTTGTTTCCGGGGAAGGCGATGAGACTAGTTTTTTTGCTAAGTTTGCATATAAAGAGGCAGTAAACTCTATTAGAGAAAGAATGGCTGCTGCAACCTGTAAAATTTGTTTTTCCAGGGATCATTCAACCAGTATGTGCCCCGAATATCAAGATAATCTGAGTGTCCCACTCAATAATTATGGAGATTTTTCACCCTGGTCTCAATCGTGGTATAACTCTAATCCAAACGGGTATGATCAAGGATGGTGGGATAACTCCAGTTATGATTATACAACAGGGCCAATGAATTTTCAGCAGCCAATGAATTTTCAGCAGTATGAGTCTCAAGAACCATCATCCGTGTCAGGTATGTCTCTTGAAGAGATGATAGAATTACTAGCTGCTAATGTATCTCGAATTCAGCAGGAGACACAAAGGATGGGTGAAGAGATGAAAGAAGCAAGGCGTGAATGGGCATTTGAAACGAGCAAATTGATTTCTCCAGTTTATGAAGAAATGCCCTCACCGGCTATTATCGACCATGAGGAAGATGAGAGTGCAATTATTCTGACAAATGACATGGTACTGCAAGAGTCTCAAGAAGAAGAATCTAAAGATGCAGTTGAAAAGAAAGATGAAGAGCAAGAATTAAGACCCCAACATCAAATGGTTCAAGTGAATGAATCCAGTGAACAATCTCCAAATGCGGTGACATCTCCTCCACTCCTTGATCAATATTTTCCTGACTCTCATTCTTTAATTCCTGTTAGTGAGATTGATTTTATTATACCAGACGATTTTGAATTTCATGCCAGGAATAAGTTAAGAGTCATGATGGCAAAATATTTCGAACCAATAAGTGCTCGTGATGGAGGAGTGGGTGAAGATTTAAGATCATCACTTGTTTGTTTGGCGCCATCTACTAATCCATGGAAGACCGTAGCTCGGGTGGTCAAGAATTACTTCATTTACGAGGGCTATCAGGATTACATAGAAGATGAAGCACTGAAGCGAGCTACACGATTTTATCCTCCATGAATAAACAGGACAATGTCTAGCCGAAGACATTAAAGAAAGGCGCTGCTTGGGAGGCAACCCAAGGCCTTTATTTTAGTTTTCTTATGTTTTTGGAGTTTTTGTTAAGTGTTAGTTGCATTTAGTGATTTGTTGGTTTTGTGGCAGGAAATTGGCAGTTAAGCGTGCCCACGCCAGGTGGTCACGCCTGAGGGGAAGAAATTTCGTGCAGGTTCTGCGGACTCTATAGCAGTTAGACGTGCCCACGCCAGGTGGTCACGCCTAAGTGAAAGAAAATTTCGTTCAGGTTCTGCGGACTATATAGCAGTTAGGCGTGCCCACGCCTAAGCCAGGGGTTCCTTGAGTTCAAAAAAAAAAAAAAAAAAAAAAATTTCAAAGGACCCGCAGCCCTACTCTTTCTTTCTTTCTGTCTTTTTTTCTCCTTCTTTCTTCTTCCTTTTCTTTCTTTTTCTCCTATTTTTTCCTGCTGTCAGCCGCAGCATCTCGGCTCAGGTCCGCCGCCTGCGCTCCACGCCATTTCGCGTGCAAGCTCCGCCACCAACTCTCGCACGTCCTCTCCCTCCTCTGCGCCCAAGCTCAACTCCAGCTCTCCAGCAGCCCAGCTTGTGGAGCACAGCAGACCGAGCGCGCAGCTCCACCCGTTGCGAGCAATCTTCAAGCCCGCCGCACGCAGCAGGCGGCCAGAGCACCAGCGACCAGCAGCCCAGGCGCGCGCTCAACCAGGGGCGCAGCAGTGTGCTTTTCGTCTCCGCGCAGTCAAGCCCAGGCGCGGGAGACCCAGCGGCGAGCGACCCCAAGGCGCCTGCCCAAGCGCGTGCGGCGCACGCGCGACGCCTTCCTTCACTCCAATGCCCACCCCTGCTCTCTTCACTGTCATCCACTGCCTACTCCAAACCTCCGGTGATTTCTTTCTTTATTTTTCCGTCAATAAGTAGCTGAGGCCAGATTACTAGTTCTTTATTAGCTGATGCCAGATTTTAATTTCTTAGCTGAGGCCAGATTTTTGATTTGCTAGTTGAGGACAGAAAATTTGTGCTTGTTTGGGTGCTGTGGCATATCTGTGGATTGATTGTTGATTATTTGGTTAACGTTGTGCCCAACCAGCGATATTTGGGGAAAGTTTTTACTCTAGTTGTCTGTTTAATTAATTCTTGGGGGTGTGTTCATCGGCCGTTTCTGCACTTGTCTGTGATTGGAAGCTGTATTTAGTTGTCATTTGCTTTGTTGGCTGTTTGTTGACCTCTTTGGAATCCCATTTCCTTGCCTCCACCTTGCCCTCTGATTTCCAATGACTAAACCAAAAAAATAAGGGCAAGAGCAAATGGACACTCGAATGGATCGGATGGAGCGTCAAATGGGTGGGATGGCCCAGAATTTAGCACAGTATCCCCATCACGTGGGTTTCCGCCCGCCTTTCCCTCTCCAGCCGTAATTCAGTTCTGCCCTCCTCCGTTTTAAGGGAAGTTTCGTTGCCCCAATATCTCTGTTTTGCTCTTTCTTTGCTTACATTGAGGGCAATGCAAGATTTAGGTGTGGGGGGGTAGTATATTGGCTTTTTATTGAAAAAAAATGCAAGTGTAGGCATTTTTGTTGGAATTTTTTGTTTGACTTTGTCGAATTTTGTCCAATTTTTGCCTATCTTTGTGCTTATTTGTGATTATTCCTGATAAACGATGGTTAGATGTTTCAAATTTTTCTATTGCTAAGACTTTACACTTTAAGGTGTTGAGTATGACATGGTTGATTTTAAGGGTATCTCTTGGGTGAATATTTGAGATTTTGTGACTTTTGCACTTTTTGGTTAACTTTTCTAAGTATTGTAAATATTTGTCTAGCATTTTTTGTGCAAATTGGCTCAGCTATTAATCTTAGTTCTCCATGTTTAAGAAATGAAGCGGGTTTGTGTGGTATTTAATTTTATTTTTGGTGCTTATTTATGAATAGTATTAGGCTATACTCCGCTAGTATCGTTGCCTAGTAACCGGGAGGCTTCACCACAAATGTCGACTTTCGCGTCAAAAAGCGACGATAGCTATGAGTATGTGGTTTTTAAGCGATGATGGCTGAGTAACCGGGCTCCTTCATATGGCCAATGTCGGAGTTCGCGTCAAAATGCTTGAATGGCTAAAAACTAAGCGTTCCCCCTAAAAAAAAAAAAAAATCATCATTCATGTGTGGGGATATTCTAGAAAAAAATATATGTGCTAATAGTGAAAAATATGGAAGTGTTTGAATAAATTGTTAACCCGCTGATCCCTGAATTTTAATGTTGAGATTTTGCTTAATAGTTGAACCATTTGCTTATGGATGCTAGTTGAATATTCTGTATTCTTAAATTAGTTAGTCATAAATTGAAAGAGTCCTTGATCTTGAAAGACAAATGGAGAGATATTTCTTGGAATTTAATCACTAGTACTTGACATATGTTTTAATTGTATCTTAGCAATAGAAGATTTGAGCAATAGCCATTATTTGAATTTGATTATTTGATTTTTTTTGTTCTCATACTTGAGGACAAGCATGATCTAGGTGTGGGGGTAATTGATAGAGTGCAATTTATTCGGTCTTCTCACGTGCTTTTCCTATTTATTTGGACTAAATACTGCACTAATCGGTGGATTTTACTATGATTTTGTGTTCTATGCGAATTGCAGCATTTAGGGGCAAAAGGAGCTGGAAAATTAACTTTTGAAGCTTTCCTGTCAGTTAGACGTGGGCACGCCTAAGTATGATGTCCAAAGCCGGATTTGCGGGATTGTTGGCCACGTGCAAACTTCCAAATATTTGGAGATTCCTTCTCGGGTGACAATTCTGGAACAATGCTGACTTAGCCAATTTGCACGTGAAGAGTCATTTGGCAGCAAGACTTCAATTGGGATTTAAATTGATTGGGTTCCTTCTTTGACTAAACGTGCTGGCCCACAAAAGCAGGAAGACTACTGGGTCTCTTTTGGAGACAGCCGCACGAGGACTCTATAAATACAATC